AATTGAGATCCTTGGCAGGGATCCCTCTACCAAATTGTGGTCACATCTTATTTTTTTTTTAAAGCTTTATTTATTATGTATATGGTGTTCTGCCGGCATGTATGCCTGCAGACCAAAAGTGGCCACCAGATCACATTATAGATGGTTGTGAGCCACAATGTGGTTGCTGGGAATTGAACTCAGGACCTTTGGAAAAGCAGGCTGTGTTCTTAGGCAATGAGCCATCTCTCCAGCCCAGTGAGGCTACACTGTAATGATAAACACAAACATCAGGAGATTGCGGGGGAGCTGCATGGTGTGACAGAATACTCAGCTAGAAACAGTGTGTGCCTCTTTACTATTCATGTTTGTAGTTTAGGCCAACTGAGTGTTAACAGTGCAGCTGACAGAAGAGTAGATTTGTGGGGTTTTTGTTTTTGTTTTTGTTTTTTTAAATATGTATTTTCCCTGCCTACCAGAGAACTATAATTTTCAGATAATAAAGGCTCTATGAATAATTCTAAGGATCAAATAAAACAAAAACAATGATAAATATGTTCAGCCAAATCAAAGATCAAGGACAAATTTTGGTTTTTAAATTTTTGTCAGATTTATTTTATATGTACAAGTATTTGTCTACATGAGTGTGTGTGTCCCGAATGTATGTCTGGTGCCTACAGAGGTCAGAAGAAGATGGTTGTGAATCACCATGTGGGTACAGGGGAACCAAGCTTGGATCCTCTGTAAGAGCAACAAGTGCTCCTAACCACTGAGGCATTTCTCTAGCCCCTAGTGTGTTTGTTTGTTTGTTTGTTTGTTTGTTTGTTTGTTTAAATGATGTTGGACAAGAGTGATTCAAAGGCAGTGTGTGGGAGATGGGGTGAGGAGTGAGTTAGAAAAAAATCCAATGACACATATTGTGAAGGATTAGAAAAATGAGCCCTTGTTTGGACAAAGTGTGTCACTAGGGGTGGGTTTTGAGGTTTCGAAAGCCTCCTTCAGGCCCAGTCTCTGTTTTCCTAACTTGAGGATCAGGATGTAAGCTGTTAGATAGTGCTCCAGCCTGCCTGCCTGCCTGCCTTGCTCTCTGCGATTATGATTGTGGAGTCTCCCTTTGAAACTGTAAGAAAGTCCCTAATTAAATGCTTTTGTTAATCATGGTTTCTCTTCACAATGAATAGGAAAGTACACACACACACACACACACACACACACACACACACACACAAGAAAATGTCATAATGGAAACCATTACTTTGTGTGGTGACTTAATTTAAAAGAAAAATAAATTAAATAATGATGCTGAAAAAATTGAGTCACCATAGGTAAGAAAGTGAATATTTACCTAAATTTTAGACTGTTGTTTAAAAACAAACTCAAGATGGATCATAGGTTTAAAGCAAAATACAAAATTATAAAAATTTTAGGAAAACAAAACAAAAAAAGTGGTTCTCCAATATAAAGAATTCTTGGGCTTGACATTAAAAGCACAACCCATAAATGAAAAATGACTAATTGTGGTCCATTGAAATTTAAAATTTGTTCTAGAAAGACTTTGCTAGGAAGATCAAAAGACAGACTACAGATTTGGAGAAAGAATGGCAAGCCACATATGTGACAATGGAGTCGCTGAGAACACGTAAAGAACTCTCATTGTTAAAACAATGATCCAGTTAGAAAATGAGCAAAAGGCGAATCGACAAGGTTACAAGGAGAAATTAGAAGAGGCCCAACATCATTAACAGTTGGGGAAATGTCCATAAGACCATGAGGTTTTGTCTTTCCTCACTGATCAAGTAAGAATAAAATAATAAATGCTGGGCTGGCAAAAATTCAGAGAGTCAGAGCTCTCATATAATACTGATAAAAATGTAAAGTGGTATAGGCATTTTGGAAAATATTTGGAAGTTTCTTTTTTACTGAATATGTGACAGTATCTTTCAAACCAGCTTATAACTCCAAAGTGAATGACATAAAACTAATATTAAAATGGTCATAACTGGTATTTTAAGAAAACAAAGCAAAAAAAAATTGGGGGACAGTGATGGTGCACACCTTTAGTCCCAGAACTGAAGAGGCAGAAATAGGTGAGTCTTTGTGAACTGGAGACCGGCTTAGCACACACCGTGAGTTCCAGACTCCCTGAAATTATATGGTGAGATCCTATGTCAACTTTTGAAACATTTTAAATTATGTGTATGTTGTACTATCCTCTGAAGCTGGGCTTGCAGAGTGTGAGCCTGTGTGGATCAGTGGTGGGAACCCAACTAGGGTCTTCTACAAGAGCAGCAAGTGCCTTAACTGGGAGCTATCTCTCCAACCTTCATGACTGGTATGATAATAATGAAATGAGTGAATTGGAACAGACTAATCATAGGGAAGAGAGTAAACTCCATTAATAAAATATTACTTAGTAGAGGAAGGCTAGCGAGGTAGCTTATTGGCCACAGCAGCTTTTGGTTTCCAGTATCCACATGGTGGCTCACAACTGCCTATAACTCAACTTTTAGGAGATCAAAAACCCTCTTTGGCCCTTCACCGGCACCAGACATGCATATGATGCACATACATACATACACATAAAGAAATCATAAATATTAAAGGCAAATATTGTGGTGGGTTTGACATCTCTGTCTCAAATATACGAGTAGATAAATATTTGTGTGATGTGGTTTAATATCTTTCTGACTCCGGGTTGCAGTCAGAATAGTTTGACAATAGGTTCGTTTATGTTTATGAGTACTTTGACTGCATGCACACTTGCACACCTCAGGAGGACATCAGATCCATTATACACGGATAGAAGTCACTATGTGGTTGCTGGAATTGAATACTGTCCTTCAAAAGAGCAGGGCAACCAGTGCTGTTAACCATGCATCATTTCTCCAGTCCCAATATTTGCCTTTTTGTAACTAAATTTGAAGAATTCTCTAAAAATGTCAGAGATGAGAGGATAGAAGGCCAGCTGTGATAACGAAGCCTTGCTATCTTTGGGCTCAGAACAACTCCAGAGACACAGACTGCCTGCCTGCTTGCCTGATTCCCTGTCTCTGGTCTCTTCCTCCCGTTTGACAGACATGTCAGAATTCAAGCACATGCTGTCTAGTGTTGGCTTGAGGAAATCTTCCCAGAGAAGATCAGCGTCGTAACCTCGAGAAGGCCCAAAGGCTCCCAGGGGAGACTGCCTGCGAAAGAACCTCAAGCAGGCTACAAAAAGATCAATGCTTTTATTTGGATCCGCCAGGGGACGCTCGTTCCTCGCAGGGGGGCGGCTGGCGGGACCAAGCCAGAGGATTTCTAGCTGTTTCCACTACCGGAAAATAGAAGCCTATTTTATTGTGAGCCTGGAGAAGCACCGCAGAATGGAACAAACAATAAAAATGAAATGAAATAAGAAAATAAAACAGTAGCTTAATGGCAACAGGCTGTCTCCCACCGCTAGAGACCAAGGTTTGCTTGGTTCTGGAAACGCGTGGCTAGATTCACGCAAGGACTGTTAGCCACAGCCTTCCTGAAAGCCCTGGTCCCCGACAGAAGCCAAGGCAAGAGGAAGGGCCTATTATATAAATAAAGGGCTTGTTTCCTTTATTTCTTTTTCTGTCTTTATCGGAACTATCCCACACGGAATCTAATCGAAATTGTCCTAGCCTCGTACCCATTTGGATCGGGAATCTTGCTTTTGGAAACCCTGTACCCGTGAAACCAAAATTTTTTTTTTTACCACAACCTAAAACACTTGCGCAGAAAACAGTGAAAAGGTCGCGTGGCTCCATACCCCGCGCACTGACCCGGAGGAGGCCTGGAGTCGGGTTAGTGTTGTGAAAATCAGAAGAAACCATCAGAATAAAAGAAATAAAAACCGAGCGTGAGAAAAGCGATATTCACCATAAGACAGTGAAAGAGAAAGCACTCGTGTATGTCAGCAGAGTGGCGCAGCGGAAGCGTGCTGGGCCCATAACCCAGAGGTCGATGGATCGAAACCATCCTCTGCTAGAATACCTTTTGCACAACGCCTTCATCCACACCCGAGGACAGCGAAAAGTCTCTAAAAATAACTACTTTGAACCCTTCTAGGTTCATGGTGTCTTTCCTCCCAGCTTCTAATCAACAAAAACTTTCTCTTGCAGGAAGCTTTCAGAAGACTCCTGAGCTGCTCCCGCATTTTTTTTTTTTTGTGTGTGTGTGTGTGTGTGTGTGTGTGTGTGTGTGTGTGTGTGTGTGTGTTTACTTGTTTAGTTTTTGGTGGAATGTAAGATTCCAGCACACACCTGTCCTGGCAGAATTCTTTGATGCGAAGTCCATGCTTTTGGCGAGCACAGGAATATAGAGTGAAACTTTCCGTATCTTTTCCCTGTTCAACACACTAATTCTGACATTGAATAGAGGCTTGAGAGCGAAGAGGAGCATCAAGTGTCTTCTGATTAGTACCTTTCCCAACAGGGGTCAGCAAAAGGTAACAAACCGTAGCCTTCTCCACGAATCTGCGTTTGGCCACCAGAAGGCACTGATGGAACCCAGTAATGATACCTTGGTCCCCAAGGCCGGCTGCTGCCTTTCCCATTGACAGCTCACAATCCCCCTAGCCTGCCTACATAATTCCATCCGTGCCATTGTGTCGTGTGCACTCTCGAGCCAACCCATCCCTTTCCTCCCCCAAATACGCTGTAGGATTCAAATCGCCCAGAGTTGCTCCCAGCTGAGAGTTTGGACAACTGGCCCACGGACGGATGCGCTTCCAGGTCCAAGGCCCGGTCCTGACTGCTTGCTGGACATCCAGCCCCATTGAGCTCTGCCCCCGGCGCGCTGGAGAAAGTCAGTGCGGCGCGCAGACCGCAGACTCCAGGGCGAGCTGACACGGTTACCGAGGTCCGCGTGTCGCCAGCTCCCTGGCATCCTCGCGCTTTTCTTGCACGCGTGGCCCAACCGTCACCCGAGCAGCGGATGCTTGGATTCCGCCACCTCTGCCGACGTCCGAAACACCAGAAGCTGAAACCCGGCTCGCCCCGCCCGCGCCTCTCCGCATGGGCAGCTACCTGGGCAAAGCAGAGTCCTCGCCGCGGTCCCCAGCACAGGGGCGCACAGACGCACGGGAGAAGCCTGCGACCCGCCGACCAGCTAGACCCCTCTACCAGGTCCACCGGGTGCAGCATGTCCACCGCGCCCAGCCCGCCCGGCGACACAGGCCGGCCCGGAGGCCGCCAAACTGGGATCCAGCCAATCCCGCCGCCTTCGTCAGTGAAGCCTGGAGGCGCTTTCCCATGAAGAGGCCGCAGAACCCCATCATGGGCTCTCTTCCTTCAGACTGGTGGGAAAGCTACCTCAAGCGTAATATTTGGTCTCTTCGTCACCCTAGGGCCACATGGAGTCCAGTGACAGTCAAGATCTCGCCTCCGGAGCGAAGACCACACCCCTTGTTTTCAGCCTCAAAAGCGGTAAACTCCGCGGGACCCTCAGAGGAGCCACCAGGAGGGTATGGGAAAGACCCTGTGCTGAAGGCCCTCCTCGAGTGCAGGAAGGGGAGAGGTCGGTGGGAAGAACCACTGTTCCCTGACAGCTCGGACAGTAAAAGGAATTCCGCCACTCCTTGGTCCGCCTTTAAGCCCCTGTTGAAAAGTGGGGCCACTGTTACATTTGTGGCCAGGCCTGGGTCTCTGAAACGGAGCCTCCACGCCCAGAGCTCAGATCATAAACGTAAGAAGTCCAGTTGCTCCTCCGTGGCCATCTTGGCTAACATATGCACACGCGGTCCTCCCAGCACTAAAAGAAATGCTATTACCAGCTCTTACAGTTCTTCCAGATATCTCTCAGAGTCCTGGAAGAGACATTTCTCCAGGACATCGGTCCAGACTCCAGAATGGCCACTGAAAAAGACAGGGAAAAGTCCTATTTCTCACCCCTTAGTTACACCCAGCAATTCTTGGCAGCCGAACGGGGAGATTCCTCCACTGCAATCTGGTCCTAGCGACCTGCTGACCACACCTTGCCAGCAAGACTGTGTTGTCACTGAAGCGGACCCTACCTTAGAGAGGCAAGCTGGGCCAAGCAACCAAACCACAGAAGCTACAACTGCGACCGTCGCAGATGCCATTCCTGAGACCAGGGCTGGTATTCGGCCTCCCTTGTCTTTCAGTCCGCCTTCTTCTGAGTCAGTTCTCAGTACCCACATGAGTCCTCAGCTGGAAAGCTCAAAGAACATGCCTGTCCCACATGGGTGCTCACAGTTAGAGCACCTTCAAGGCATCTCTTCAGACTCAAAACCCTCCACTGCTTCCATCCAGGTGTCGCCAAGCTCTCCCACATCACCAGTCAGTGATTCCAACTGGCCATCTTCAGTCCCTCAGGCTTACAGGTCTGCAGAGCCCCCACACTCCTCTGTCATTATCCCCACAGCACCCACCACACAAAACACTCTGCTTGGGGTGGTGAGTAGCCCAATTCTCCATCTTCCTGCATGTGTACTTCCTGTGGAAACTTCTGCTCACTCATTAAGACCTGTTCAAGGGCCTGGGCATAGTAGTGAGGTCAGAGACTCCTCATATTGCAGAATTTCTGTCATGGCTGGGGCATCATCAAGCTCTTCTCTTTCCACAACTCCAAGCATCTTAAGGCCCACCTTCAAGCCTATCTTTGACAGTACAGAACCACTTAAAACTATGCCTATGACAGCGCCTGTGTCCACCAAACAGGCCTCTCCTTCACTGACTTCTGCTTCAAGCTATCTCTTCCATGGCCTAGCCACAGCCTCCTCTATGGTTACATCTGCCATTACAGGCAGCGCATCTAAAGACCCTGGTGTGGACTTGAACATAGTAACTAGCACCACAAGCAACTCTTACCTTGTCCCTTCTTGCCACACTTTCCTGCTTGGGGCTTCCCAGGGCTTTTCCCCAGCCCCTGATTTAATTTTCCCGTGCCAACACCCTGCAATTCCCACTGTACACACAGTCACTATCTTTAGCCAGGTTCTTACTAGTGCCATCCAGATATCCCCTCTTAGAAGCACTGCTAAACTGAAAGGGGAGAGCAGACCTCTGCCAACTTTAGGTTCATCATCCATAAACCAGCCTACAGTGACCTCACACATGTCCAATGTGACTTCAGCACTCACAGCATCATTGGGGTCAAGCCCAAAGTCACCTTTTCCACCATCCCAAAGTACTTCCCAGTCTTCACCTGGGGCCACAGATGAACAGAAGCAATGTTCTCTCCAACTAGCTCCTGTCCCAAGCTTTAGTACCTCTTTCCTTTCAGGGAACTCAGTTGTGTCCCCAACCCAGATGCTACCTCCTACTCAAATGGTTCTCAGCAAGACTACCCCACCAGCTTCTGGTGGGTTGACATCTTCAGCCTCCATTATTCACACTCCCACCAGCATCCAGTCAGGTTTCAGTAGTATAACTGGTTTTCCATTCAGTGAAGCTAGCTCAACCATCCTTGGGGGTGTCAGACAGAACCACCAGAGTGGGGCCTACAGCTCAGTATTTGGCAGCACAGCACCGAGACCTTTTGATTTTGGAGGATCAGTGACCCCTATGGACTGTGGGGAGCCTGAGGTCATTGTGGCTATCCCACAAAGAAGCATGGCTGGTGCAAGAAAGAGTGAGACCCCAAGCACCCTAGCTCCCTTTGTACAATGCTGGAACCAGAGCATGCAGGGCCTGCCTAGCCAGATCACACCTTTGACCACTGTCACTGCAAGAAAGACCATGTCTGGGGCCCCCTCTCTGGTCTCCTTTGCTCAGAGTACCCCTATACCTGGAGCAATTAAGGCAGGTAGCAGTCTTGGCTTTGGAATGTCCTCTCCAACTGTGCAGGGTTCTGTGGGGAGAGATCCTTTCAGATCATGGGCACCTTCATTCTGTATTGGCACAAAATCAAAACTTTCAAGGAATCGGGAGCCAGGGCGCTCCCGAAGACATCACACTTACAAGAAATAGCCCACTCACCCTGTCACATTACAGTGAAGAGACTCAATCTCTCCAGTTCTCTATACCACACATATCCCAGATCAAAAGTGAGGGCTCTAGGTGTTCCCACTGTGTTTCCTAATCTGTCTTCCAAGAAGGTAGACCACCAAGTGTGTCATCTAGTGCTGGTAGAGAATGGGGCTGCATGGAACTAAGGCCCTGGAGCAGAGCAGAAACTCTGACTCCCTTTCCCACCCACACCTCCCTGTACAACTGTGAGCTCCACGAGGACACAGCTTCCCAATTGGGGAATGTCCATGGCAAGACAATAACAGGCATCTTCAGGAGGAGATAGGTTGATCCTACCCCTTAACATCCCTTTATCTGGGCTCTAGGAGGAGCTTGGCTGTCTAATGCCACAGAGTCACCAAGTTCTCGGTTCTTACTCCTTGTTCCTCAGTGGTTTCTTGGGAGTGTTTGTGTGTGAGCTGATCTGTGTTCCATCTACTCTTGGGGATCAAGGTCATCTTTGAGGATTCCTTTGTGTGTTGCTCTCTGTACCACTTTATCTTTACAGTTGCCCTAGTCTTTGCACAAATTGGCAATGGTTTAGTCCCATCCTTCTTTTGGTCAATTTGCTCTACAAGACTAGTCAAGATTTAGCCTGTCAGACCTGAAAGGTCATTCCTCAGTCTGGGAAAGAGAGGCCCTTGGCCAGTTCCTTCCAGCATCAAAGCGGGCCAATCCTTACTATCTACCAGCTTCTCCACTTGCTGCTCTTCACTTGGTGTTATGGAGACTTGCTCTTCTTACTCTGTTGGTTTCTGGTGCGAATGCTTTCAGTTGGAGGAAAAATGACCTGTAGGAGTGGTAGGAAGTTGCAAAGCCAAATTTCAACATGTGTAAATCCATCTGCAGCTGGGTGGATGGGACCAGTCAAACAGCACTGCTTCAGGGCTGCAAGAGCTGACTCACCCTAAACACACAGCAGCAGTTTGACCTTGAAGGATAGTTTCTCAGGAAGTGGGAAGGCAGAGGAGGTGGCCAGGATGCTGAAGCCATCTTTTTTGCCTCTGTACCATAGACCACAACAGGAACGGCAAATGCTCAAGTAGGGAGACCAAAGCTTACAAATCATTTTTTTAATTTGTGTCTCATCAAATCAAGCCTTTCTGAATTCACATCTTTCTCAGGCTCACCAGGGCATGAAGCCCTTGGGCCAAAAAACAAAGCATAAGAGAGAGAGCAGCAGGTACCTAGCAGACTGCAGCTGTCAAGCCAGTGAGAAGTGCATGAATGAGCTGGATATCATCCTTAGGACTTCTTAGCAACCTCACACACTAAGGCATATAGGATTCATGGGTACATTTATTACATATTTCTTATTTTACAGATACCTTGGAGTAAATCTAATTGGAAAAATAATCTTAAATTGAATGATAAAATAAAAAATACATTGTTGGAAAAAAGTCTATGATACAGGAATTACTGTCAAGCTCATATAGATAACGGAGCAGAAAAATGTTAACAAATTGGCCTGAGGTTACTCAGCAAAGACTAGATTTAAGCCCTAGTGACCGTAGAATGTGCTTATTTCTCACCCTCTAATCACCCAAGTCAGAAATGCCTGACTCTAAATATCTGTGCTGGTTGATATTTATTTGTTTATTGTTTGTGTATCTGTGAGATATTGGGGCTCGAGTCCATGATTTCACAAATGCTAGGCTTAATTACATCCTCAGTATTGTTTTAACTTTAAAGGGGGTTTTATTACTGCATGGTGTGTGCCTGGGCACATGTGCCAGAGGTCAGGGGATAGCCTTGGTGAGCTTCCTCCCTCTCTCAACCACATGGGTTCCAGGTTTTTAGGGACTGAACTCCCATCACCAGGCTTGTGCCACAAGTGCCACTGAATCACCTCAATGGTCCATTTACAACTTTTAAACACATTCTCAAGATTGCTATCTTATCGACTAATGACAGAAGGAAAGTGTTAGACACTACCTTATGTTCTTTGCAGTGTCTAGAGATAGTTATATGCCTTGCACAGTCCTCTGTACTTGTCATTTAGTGGACAAGAACAATCCCTATTTAGGAGAATCACCATTTAGTGTGGAATGTTAACTAGCCAATGGTCCTAACACAAAGGACAAGAGCCTAGAAATGGGAGTGGACAGAGGACTATCTTGACCAGGGCTGACTGGAGATTTGAATTCTGCCTGACAGTGCATTTGTCATCACCAAATGGACAATCTTATTTCAGGTCAACCTCAATCCTGTGTTCAGGCAGGAAAGGAAGGTCACCAAGATGTACTGAAGTTACTTCCAAAAAGTCAGGTATAGCTATGGTGAGCAGAAGCAGATGGTGGACATGGCTGCAAACCATGCAACACAATGTGGGCAGCATCTTGAATACACCAGGTAGCTGTGAACAGACCAAACAGCATAGAAGCAGGTCTATAATTGCGTGTTACATTACTCTGGTTGTCATGTGAAGAGGGAAAAAGGAAATAAAATAGGAAAAGACTGGGGACTTGGGGTTGTATAAGAGACTTTTTGAGTAAGAGAAACATATTAAAAGTATAAGATGGAGGACTGGGGATGAAACAGTATTTTTCCAGCAAGTATGAAGCACAGGGTTTTATCCTTAGTACTGCCAAACTACATGCAGTAACATACACCAGTAATCTTCCCAGCACTGCAGAGGTGGAGCCAGGAGGATCAGAAATTCAAGATCATCCTCCTGGGCCTGAGATAGTTGAAACCCTGTCTTGGGGCTGGGGGGAGTCCACAGTGAGGCAAGGTTATGGACCAGAATCTGGGAAAAGGCTCTAATTGGGATTTCCTCAGTCTCTTAAAGTACTGGTTGTTTCCTTTCTAATACTTGGGCTTATTCAGGGAATTGCAAAGCATAAACCTCCAGCAGTTGGAAATTCCCCAGTACCAGAATCCAAACTCATTGCTATCTCTCAGAGTTCACACCACCCTTTTTCCAATATTATTTATCTTTTTTCATTCAGTTTGGGTATCCTGGGTTTCCTCAGAAACACATAGAATAAGTAAAAAGAATTGGCTCAGCTGTGCTGTGGTGGGGCACAACTTTAGTCCCAGCACTTGGGAAGCAGAGGCAGGGGGATCTCTGAGTTCAAGGCCAGCATGACCTACAAAGAGTTCCATCCAGGATAGCCAGAGCTGTTGCACAGAGAATCTCTGTCTTAAAGAAAGGAAGGAAGGAAGGAAGGAAGGAAAGAAGGAAGGAAAGAAGGAAGGAAGGAAGGAAGGAGTGTCCTGGCAGAAAGGAAAGAAGGAAGGAAGGGAAAGAACAGGCAGGCAGGCAGACAGGAAGAAAGGAAAAGGAGAGAGAGAGAGAGAGAGATGGCTCTTGAATCTTCTGGATTTGATTTCCCAATGGCTTCAATTGAGTTTCAGAAAGGCATAGAGACAATGAGATATCCAGGAAACTAGAAAGATTTTTCTGGAGAAAGAGAGCAATTAAAAGTGATCAGGGGATGGCAAGATGTCTGTCGATAAAAGCACTTGCTGACAAGCCCATCGACTTGAATTCAATCCCCAAGACCCACGATAAAAGGAGAAAACTACTGAGCATAGTGTCACATGACTTTAATCCCAGCACACAGAGACACGGGGTGATCTCTGTGAGTTTGAGGGCAGCCTGATCTACATAGTGAGTTCCAGGACAACCAGGGCTACAAAATGAGACCCTGTCTCAAAACAAAACAAAACAAAACACCTTCTTCCCAATAATTTGATTATTGCCTCCACATGCCCTCATTGGCACATACAAAATAAATTAAATGTAATAAAAATTTAAAAATATTTTCTAAAAGATGAAAGAAAAGGACATGGATCTTAACGAGTCAGCAAACCCCCAAGGCAGAAATTAGGGTGTGAGGGACCTGAACCAGCCCTGAGAAATTCTGATAGTCAGTGTGGTGTCTTCAGAGATGTAGTGTAGTAAGAACTACCTACAGTCCTAAGGGGTAAAGTTCAGTTTCTTGATCACTAACATCGCCCTTGAAGAATATGTGTTTTGTCTTTCCTAATTTCTAAAAGTAGAAATGAAATTGAGTAACAGAAAACTAAGAAATGTTCTTTTTTTTAACTGAGGTCTTAATCCATTTGATATTTAGGAAAAAGGGTCTTTTTGGAAGATGGAGCTGGACTTCAGAGACCAAGAAAGCTGTCTTCAGTGGGGACAAGTCTCTTCTGTGACCCTCTGCAATGACACCAAGAAGAATACATGCCTTTCTGTTATTTCTCTATTCAACTTCCTTTAATGTATTATCTTGAGTAGGTGGACAAGTCCAGTAGACCAGAGACAACATCCTGGAGTCCCTGGATAATAAATAAAAAGAGCCAGACTATTCTGGGGCATTAATGGGGTAGGGAGGGGGCTAAGACTTTTAACATTCTGGGTAATGACGCCCATTTACAAATACACAAATATGATGAAACAGGCACCAAACAACCTCCCTCTCTTCCTCTTCCCCTCTCTCCCCCTCCCCTTCTCTTTCTCCTCTCATGTATGTATTGCTTTATAGTTATTTTATTTAACTGTTCATTAAATTTGATAATTTTTGAGCTGGGCATGGTGGTACATACCTTTAATCCTAACAGTCTGTAGGCAGAGGCAAATAGCTATCTGTGAGTTCAAGGCCAACCTGGATCTTGACAGAGTTCCAGGACATCCAGGACTACATAGAAAGACCCTGTTTCAAAAATAAAACAAAATAAACAAAAAACAAACTTTTTTATATTTTAGTTCTTTTGTTTTTTTTAAAAGATCTAGTCACAAATTGAAGGGCTCATTTAATGTAAAGAGAAACATTCAAAGAAATTATTTTGTTCTCTTATGATGGATATAGAAGAATACTTCTAATACAGTTGATGAGTAGACATTTTGGAGACTGAGCCTGGTGTGCAATGAAGGCAGCAGACTATGAACTTTACTGTTTTAGAGTGTGTGGATGCAGCAGCAGGAAGTAACTCTAGAACAAGCTAGACTTTACACCACCAGTGTATCTATTAATTGTAGTGATTGTCGAGCCCAGGAAATATGACTAGTTAATGTTGAAATACTAATATTTTGGATATGTTGTATTAAAAATGAATATTATTAAAAAACCAGTTTCTGTTGTTTGCTTTTACTCATTTTTTGGTTTTTCGAGACAGGGTTTCTCTGTGTAGCTTTGGAGCCTGTCCTGGCACTCGCTCTGGCCTCAAACTCACAGAGATCCACCTGCCTCTGCCTCCCAAGTGCTGGGATTAAAGGCATGTGCCACCAATGCCTGGCTGCTTTTACTCTTAAATATGTCTTTACACCATTTGGCATTATGCACAGCTCATGGCACATATTTGTGGCTTATGTAATATTTTGTTGAAATACGAATGGTGAGTCAACTCACATCTTGTTTAGCATACATTTTACAGATGAGTTCATTGCCAATGCCACTGAGAAATATAACACTGATTTTACTTTGGTGTTTGGCCTAATTTACAAAGCACCACTACTGATGAGTAAAGGAGAGCTGGAGTAACTGCCACCCCTGGAGGAGTATACCCACTAAAATAGTGGCCTCCTGTTCTGTACAGAGCCAGGAATGGTCCATGATAGCAATACTTTTGGTTTTGAATGAGTGAGTTTATTAAACTTGTAGCAAGAAAATGTAAAAGCCTAGGCCATACTCAAGTGAGACAAAATAGCATAATGGATCCCTTTCCTAGCAACAACTTGTGCATAAGAGCTGGGGCAAGTCAAATCATGCTCTAGGTTACATCTCTTGGCATCCACAGTTACAATATGTGTGTGGTAATACATATGGACTCAGCTTTCTTGTGTTGAGACCATGGAATTATGTTTCTTTACTATTTTGGACCTACAAGCTAACTTAAGTCAGGTGTTTTTTCAAAGCAAAGGGAGTAACTGTCCACATTTAATTTGTGAGATTCATGAATCCCATGGAGACCCCATGAAGATGAGCTTGTTTTATCCTGGAACTGAGCTCACAATAAGCCAAAAAGGCTTTTGGGGTTTGTGGTCATCTTAGCTGACTACTTTGTCAAGATGGAGGCAACCATGTGACTAGGGCACCATCTTGGTTTGTGATGCCAGCAATATTGAAACTGCCACCTACATGATGCCATCTTGGTTAGTGACATCACGAAGATGAAGGAGGCTGGAAGACTTTGTTGACATGTTGGTTAATGCAGCCACGTGACAGAAACCAAAATGTCAGCACCCATAAAACTTTTCAGTACAACTGATTCCCCCAGGGGATCACCATACTCCTTTTCATACCAGGCCTTAGAGTTAACACCAGACCTCCATGGTAGGTTTTGCTTGTTCATTTGTTTCAATTTTGACACATCATTTTACGTGGTATATTTACTGGTTTGAAGAGTGGATATGAGAGTTTTTCTAGTCATGTGCCTTGAACACTAGACAGGTATCAAAGGAGCTGACGCTGTGAAATGACTAGCTTGTTGGAAAGCTCCTGTGAATTTGTAGTAAGTAGCCCAGGGAAAACTTGGAAAGACACATCCCAAATCTAAAGGATAGATTGCCAGGTACTAGATACACTCCTGCCAGCAGGTGGTTATGACAACTGGAGGCAAAAAGGATTCATTCTGCTTGGATGGGAAGCTAGAGGAGGTGCAGGCTAAGCTGGTCTCAATGCCTGCTTTTTCTGCCTATCAACTCCAAGTCAATTTTTCTCCAGCATAGGGTGTTGCAGAATATTTGTTTACACTGTGAAGATATGTCTTTGGATATTGGGTATTGGCTTCTAATATTACAGTCCATTCAAGGGTCGTCTCTGAGAAATTAATGACTTGAAGGCTTAGACAGGGTAGAGTCACCTAAGCCTGTTGAATAAGAGCTTGTTATGCCAGATCATCATAAAATTTCATAATGACAGAATATCACAAGGACCCATTTGTCAGCCTGATCAGTTCATCTGAGTAGCAAAACCATTAAAGGAAATAGTGACTTTTAAATCACTAAAAAACTGGGATTTCCTGAGCTTATTTTGATGATGCAAACTACAAAAATTAAGAGAAGTGCCTCTTGCTTCTGATGGATGCCAAGTACAGACTGGTGAATGTGGGAGAATACTGGAATCAAGCAATTGCCATTTGGCAACTACCACAGTAAATATTGTTCAGGGGGAATTATCAATAGATGCTAAATTTGAATGGAAAATCTCATGGTAAATATTTTGGTGGCTTCCCTAAATGACTTCCCCTAGGCTGCTTATTAGTTGAAGGGGGAAAACTCTGCTCATGTATTGACTGAATGTACTACTGTGATCAGAAGCAGCCATGGTTACCAAGGGAGATTGACGTGGAGTGTCTTCAGACTATTTTTCTAAGGGTGGAGATATACCTCAGTATTATTTCCTTTCTATTTTTCATAAATCTAAGTTTCCATCATCGTTATGATATATTGATATATATATACACACATATATATATATAATTGATGTATGATATTAATGAAGTTTGTGCTAAAGAAGAATATGTTTTATGTGGTGTTTGGCAGATGCAGAATATGAAACTAATTTTGAATGTGTGATTTGGAAATCACACAAAACCCAAATTAGTAGTAGTCCATTTCCTTATCCTTTAAATTTGTTTCATTTGTGGGGAGTGACAGTCAGTCCTAACCTGATGGCACTGTGTTTTTATGAACTGCTCTATCTCAGTCTTTAGAAGTGCTGGACCTGAGTAGTAATTTACACAGGTCCCCTGTAATGACTAAAGAGAGTGATATGGAGCCAGTCATCCCTTAAGGGCTGTTGACCTTTTGCTCTGGAATCCCTGGAGATCCTAATAGCCTGCAGGTGAGATAAGAATAGGATAATGGACTGTGAGGTATTAACAGCTGCCTTTGCTTCTGTAAAACTGCTTATAGCTATGAGAAAAGGATGAAATGGTTTCTGTCTTGCTATATAGCAGAAAAGTAAGAAACAACTGGGGGAATGTTCCTGCCCAGCTGCGGATCCCATGGATAGTTGTAACACACGTCTTTCTGATATCCAGTTTAAAGCCTTATGTTAATGCCCCTCTGGTTTGGCACACTGTTTGGCTCTAAGGCTGCTATCCTTCTGCCAGCAGTAAGAATAAATTTGTTTAATCTAAATTTGAATTGATCTAAGTCTCTGGTTTCTCCCAGTGGCTTCAAACACCTGACATATTTTGTTTTTATGTGTATGAATGTTTTGCCTTCGTGTGTATGCTCTATGTATTTGACCACGTTGGTGGCATTGGATCCCCTGGAACTGAAGGTACAGATGACTAACCCCAGTTCCCCAGTTTCTAGGGGAGCAGCCAGTGATCTTAAGCTCCGAGTCAAATCCTCAGACCTTCCATTTTCTTAAATGAGCAACGACTCTGACCTTCAAAATATGAATTTCATGAGATACACAAAGGGACGTTTTGGAGTTGTTACAGGTTGGAGGATGCTAAAGTACACAGCTCCTATTCAAGTCTATATCCTGCGTCCTGGTTTGAAGAGAGAAGTTAAGTGCTATAAATGCCACAACTGCCCACAAACTTGAAACCCCTTTTTAAAACAGACAACCGCATCAGATAAAAATGTCCTCACTGGATAGTGGTGACACACGCCTTTAATTCCAACACTCCGGGAGGCGGAAGTAGGCAGATCTCTGTGAGTTCCTGGAACCCTGTCTCAAAAAACAAACAACAAAACAAAACAAAACAAAAAGAAAGAACAGAAAAGAAGAAAAACGTCCTTAAGAGCAAAGGACCATGATATATATAACTTACCTCTTAGCTGTTATTTGTTTGTTTTTTGACTTCAGGGGTGGGGGTGTTTCAAAGAGAGACAGAGAATGAGAAAGACAGAGCAAGCCAGAAAGTAAGGGCCTGTAGAGGAAAAGCGGAGAAAGAGGGTATAGGTAAATTCTAGTAAAAGTATGTGTGGCTTTCATACCATTCTTATTTTTACACATCTTCCATAAACTTTAAATTACTTCCGAGCATTAAATTTAAAAAGAACCTTTTAATGGGACTTAGAAAATACGGATTATTGAATCTCCTGTTGGGTTCCTACAGAAGCAGCGATGTTTTCATCTGTGTCGTTTCTGCGGTTATTACCAGATACCGTCTAGCATTGAGAAGAAAAATAAGGACAGGTGATTCAAAGAACTCCACTGTGACATCGAGGCTATGTATAGGTACAAACACCAAAGCACGTGAGACAAAGGAAAATTCTGGCAGGTTGCTTGTTGGGAATAGTAACTCCACTCTTACTCAATACACTGACGTTATTGAAGAACACCTTATTATTGAAGGACTGAAAGCATATAGAGCATAGGAGTCGCTGATAACTTCCTTGGAAAAGCATAATATATAGGCCTACTCAGGGACCGACGACGAGGGTGGGATTCGAACCCACGCGTGCAGAGCACAATGGATTAGCAGTCCATCGCCTTAACCACTCGGCCACCTCGTCCTCCTCTTGCTTCTGGCTCTTTGCCTCCATCTTTGTTATTTGGTGATTCTGTGGTTTCTATATGGTTGTATCAGCTTTCATCCTACAAGACTCCTTAAGGAATTTT